CAACCAGGAAACCTGCCTCATCCACCTGGGCATATGCAAAAAAGCAAACAATCCAGGAAGAGATTGGTGAACAGATTACACGGGCCCCTTGCCTACTAGCAGAGGCTCAAAATATGCTCTCACCTGTGTAGCTATAGCTACTGTCTGTTACAGGCTTTTCCTTGGAGACGGGGCAAATCAAAAGGCAACTACAAAAGTGATTAAAATTAAGCACACGAATGGACACCCAGGTCACACAGATCCAGGATCTCATTTCAGGGGACATGATGTCCAACAACGGGTGCAAGATAATGATATTGAATGGAAGTTCCATTTGCTATATAACCCTCAAGCTGCAGGGCTAATAGAAAGGAAGAATGACTTTTGAAACAACAGGTAGGTCTGTTGTTAGAAAAAGGCTCCTTGGCTGTGAGGATGGAGGTACTTGAGCCAACTTTAATTCATCTTCATGCTAACCCCCAGGGCCTGCTGTGCCGATGACAGATTGGGAAGCCCTGGCTACAGGTACTGAAGGAGGCCCTCATGCAGTCACCCCCGAGGTACTGGCAGGACTATGAGCCCTTTAATTTCAGTCCCCATTGTCACTGAGGCCTGGACAAGGTGTAACTGATTGGGGTTTAATATGGATTGGGTATTTTTTTGCCACGGAGTGAAGCACCCTTAGTCCTAAGTTGGTTTTCTGTTCTCCTGGAAGCTGGACTTCTAAAGACACGCTATGCATTACAGGTGGCCAGAGAAATACCTGGAGGTACCCAGTATGAATCCTAAGCAGGCATACTCCCCCCATCATGACCCTTCAAGCGACTTGTGTGCCCAGTCCCTTAGGTCAACGTGTCTGGTGTGCACTGCTTTTTCAGAAGCCAGCCGCAGCAGCCGACCACCAAAGATCAGGCTACCAGCATTGTTTTAAAAGGAGAAGACCTCTCTTACAGGTTCCAACTAAACATCTTTTTATTTGCCCAGCTTCTTGATTTTTATGCTGTTGCCTTCAGGTGACACACTCAATGCCAACCTGTTCCTGTCATGGGCTCTAATATCCAGTTCCTTCCTGCTGGGTGTGTGCTGAGTACCTCCTGTAGTTCTCCCGGAGACCCGTTCTCCATTGGTTTGGCTTCTGGGAATGCTGGTGGAAGTGACCTCCCTTGTTCTTCTTGTTATCATTGTTATTGCTTTCCCCCTTGCATGTGCTATGTTACCATTGCAGCCTTTGCCTTTAGCACAGACAGCTGATATCATAACATGCGGCGTCTCTGTTTCTCCATCCCCTTGAGGGTGGGGAGCGTCCTGCCTGTGGGCCATGTAAGGTCCACACAATCAGTACCAGGGACATCACACACCTCACCAAGTCAGACTGGCCAAATATAGGAGGCTAATTTTTTTAAAAAAATCCTCATCCAAGGATATTTTTCCATTGTTCTTCAGATAGAGGGAGAGGGAGGGGGCAGAGGGAGACATTGACGTGAGAGGGACACATCGGTTGGTTGCCTCCTGCAAGACCATGACCAGGGCGGGGGACGAACCTGAGTTACACACCCTTGACCCGAATCGAACCTGAGACTCATTGGTCTGCAGGCTGATGCTCCAACCGCTGAACCAAACCGATCAGGGCTAGCAGGCTAATTTTTAAGTTGATAATTTTATATGGCCTACGAGTAATGTTATAAATATCCAAATGGCCCTGGGCAGAAAAAAGGTTCCCCACCCTTACCAGAGGCTCAGGGACTGTCATGGAAGAGGGGTCACTTGTGATTGTGAGAGCCAGTAAGGAGGGGTGGAGTTAGGTGAAATGATTCCCGATACGTAATGTGACCGCCGCACTCTTATGAGGCAAGCTGACCACCAGTTCATGCTGGGGGGCGGGGACATATCACTTGAAAGAAATAATCTTTTTTTTTTTAATTTTTTTTTTAATCCTCACCCAAGAACATTTTTCCATTTTTGTTCAGATGGAGTGGGAGGGAGAGAGAGAAAGAGAGAGAGAAACATTGACGTGAAAGGGACACATCGAGTGGTTGCCACCCGCATGACCAACCAGGGCCGGGGACAAACTGCAACCGAGGTATGTGCCCTTAGCGGGAACCGAACCCGGGTCTCTCCGGACTGCAGGCCGACGCTCTAACCGCTGAGCCAAACCGGCCAGGGCGAAAGGAATATCCTTGCATAGTTGGGGGGCCCACTGTTTACTGCCTTGGCTTCTACAGCTCTTAACCAGCCTGGGCCACGCGGCCACGTATCTCGGGCCTCTGTCCCTTTTCTGTGCAGAAACCCATCGCATTGCTGCTCCCCAAACTCTGCTTCTGTAAGTTTCCTCATGAGCTCTTGGTGCACGTCTGCAGTTGCCAGATGCTGTCTTAGTGCCCCAGCCCCGGGGGGATTCCCACTGCAGCAGCCCCAAGTGCCAGGCCCGCAGGCACTGGTGGGCCTCACAGGGTAGACGGGCAGTGTGTTTGCAGAGAACAAGCATTAAGGACCTTTTGCTTTCGGAACAGGGCTGGATACCCTGTGTCGGGGTCCAGTGTCCCCAGCACACCCCTGACAGCAGAGAGGTCACAGCAGCAGTCTTCAAAACCTGGCCGTGCAAGGACCATCGGAAGAACCTTCCAGAAAGTCCTCGGCAACCTTCAGGTAGGACCCTCGGGGCAGTTACCCTTCAACTGTCCACTTAACCTTCAACTGTCCACTTAACCAAGGCCACCTCCCCTCATTGGAGAGTTCTTGGGGGGGAACTACCTCCTGCTTCCCTTCCCTCACTGGGAATCCGGAGGGGTCCTCTCCCCCATGCTGTGCACTCTGAGAAGGCCGGGAGGCTGGGATATCAGCTGTTACAGGCGACATAGACACACGTGTTTAAAAGCGAGTTGGTTTCACAGCATGCGCCCATTTCAAAAACACTCGGGCTCTGGGCATCATGCAGACTCGACAGGATGGGTGGGAGGAGGCTGCCCGCTGCCTGGGTCCCGTCCCACCCCACCCCCGAAACACTAAGACACTCAGCCCAGGCCAAGAGGTGAAGTTCTCGTTTATTGTTGCAGCAACTCTTACAGACGTCAGCGTTCAGTTAAATAAAGGAAGATAACACATTAAATACATCACAACCCTCAAAACGCTAAGGGGGAGGGGAGGGCGGGCCGGGCCCGGCGACCAGACTGGCGGAGGAAGTACATTCAGTGGGTGTGCGGCGTCCACATTCCAGGCTCACGTGTATATATACTTTATTTATATATTTATTTATATTTATATATAGAGATCATTGAGTTCTGTGTATACAAAGAACAATATTGTTACAAATACAATACTATACTTCTCCTGACGCTTTACAATAAGCTCTATTTCATCCTCTTTACAGAACAACAGTACAGCTTCATACTCTAGGGGCTGTGCTGGGTATGTACAAGCAGCTTCCTTCCCACAGTCCTTCCGTGCTGCCTTGAGGGGGGCAGGGGCAGGGTCGTGTGTGTGTGTGTGTGTGAGTGTGAGTGTTCAAGTCGGCCAAACCAGGGAAGGAGCAGACAGACAAACTCAAAACAACAAGTGGCCTAGGAAGGGGGAGTAAACACATCTTTGGGGAGGTGGCCCATGGTTGTAAACATTGGTAACAGCCACACCCCTGGGTTGAGGGACCCAAGAATGGCTCATGGATGGTTTCGTCAGCGTGCAGACGGGCGTGGGGGTGACAGGAGCGATGGGGGAGGTAGTAGGTTACTCTGGGACTCGCTGAGGCCAGTGTGGATGGGCAATGTTCACAGAGCAGAGCTGTCTGTAGGGCCTCGGAGTCCAGCCCCATGAGGGACCCCAGGCCCCGAGGAGCCCACTCTGGTGAGGGGACGGGGCTCCAGGCATCCGTCTCGGGGTGTTTCTTCCACTTGGGAACCCGAGGCTGATGGTGGCTCCTGAGAAGGCAGAGGCAGGATGGGCTCTCCCACACCTGCTGGACCCGGAGGGTGGACAGATCTGGGAATCTGTCCTCACCAAGCAGCAAGAGTGGCTTTTTGCCTGGGATCCTGTCTGGAACGCTGTGCACGCTGTCTTCCCCAGTGCATGGGGAGGCAGACATTTACAGATACAGCTTACACATACTGGGATATCAGGGGATAGTGACCACCCTTCCCACGGGAATTTCAAAATCGGAGTTAAGATCCCGCCTCCTTGGTTAACCAAAGGTAGAGAACTCCCTCCATCCACGGGGAGCAGAGGGCAAAGAATACACGTCAGCCAGTGACCCTGCCCGCGCGCCATAAGCATGTGCTAGCCGGGCGTGCGGAGACACATTGACAAGAAGGGATCGGTGGATCAACAGTCGCACTTTTAGGCTTAAGTAGGTTATTCCTCTGGGAGAACTTATGAAATTGGCTTTCCCAGCCCCTGTCAAACGTTTTAAGATCTCTGTGCAGTAGCATAGAAAGTATATTCTCTCTCCTCTCTCCTTTGGAGGAAGACATGTCATGGACTTACTGGGGAGGCTGCACAGGGATGTGCTAGTGGAGTTCCTGTCCCTGGCCCATCTCGGGCAGGCCTCTGAACAGGTGCTTGGGCAAGTGGCCCGAGTGGTCACCCTGGGGCAAACAGGCATCAGCTCTCCGATTGTTTCCTGAGGCTCCCGATGCCTGAAATACCATCAATAATGCTGCACCCATGTTTTAGCCACTCTCTTTTTGGCAGAGGGAAGCTGAACGTATGCCTCTTGAGTATTTAATTATATTTTCAGACACTCTCGTTTGGTAGATGGAGCACCTGGAGCCATGGTTCCTGACCGCGCAGCCGGCTCCCCTGGAGAAGAGTTGGCTCCTCCCCCGAGAGGACGCTCGGCAGTGCAGCCCCTCCCCCCAGGGCTTGTCCCGCACACCGACAGGTCGGCCACGGATGGCTTTGAAACGTTCGCTTTCCTCTACAAGCAGAAACTCCAAAGGTACGAGATCCCAGGGAAATGACCACACACAGCTCTGGTGTAAATGTCCTGTTCCTCTTTATATCCTCACCCCCCCACCCATTCCATCTGTAAATACGTACTACCCAACACGTGCTCACCAAATTCCTGTTGCCACAAACAACATAAACATCCCCAGTGCAGAGAACAGGGACTCTATTAATATTATAAAATATATTAGTTTCTCTTTCCCCGTCTCCGCTGAGGTCATGAACGAAACAAAACAAAAACCAAACCAAGCCACACCCCATCCACATGAAAACAAAAGGCTCTTTGGACCAAAGAATAAGTAAAAACTGGCTCAGAATAAGATTACTAAAATATTTGCACTGAAACTGAGACAGAACCCATAAATATGAGGCACCTGATAAAAAACACGTAACACTCCACATCGATTAAACTCTCGGACCCACGAGGCAGCAAGATGATGTTTCTGGAACACATTGGGGATTCTTAGGCATAGCTAGAGGTCACTGCTGTCCCCTTAGTTTGTGGTTTATGTACTCTTCTTGCCTTTTACATGTCACACCCTACCTAGTGGCCCTGAGCGGAGAAGAAAATGTAACACAAATGCACTTGCTTCCTCGTCTTCCAGGTGAGCAGTCCTACCTTCTCAGACTCCCCGTATACGAGTGTGTGTGTGTGTGTGTGGGGGGGGGCACGAGGAGCCCTCTAGAACACTGTGAGCCAAGGTGCTGCTGGCAGGGCCAGGCCTCACCCACCAAAGGGGCCCCTCTGGGGACAGAGCTGACCAGCCAGGGGGAGGGGCCTCACAGAGGTACTGGGGTTGTCCAGGGGCTCCGTGTGCCTCCTGAGCGGAGGGGAGGAGGGAAAGGTGAGATATAGCCAACGAGACTGTGTACATGCGGGTGTGTGGAGTGGGTGGAAGCAGACAGCACCCGCCCGTGTTCATCTAATGGTGTGTAACCTCAGGACAACCTAGCGAATCTATGGATGTCCCTGGAATTGCCAACAACTTGATGCTATTCTTGTCCAAGGCAGTTCCCCTTCTACCCTTGGGGGAGGAGGCCCCTGTTAGAAAACAATGAGGTTGAAATTAAAATGAGCTATAAAAGAGGCCGAAGGTTGGCTCAGAAATTCTGGGCAGAAATAATGTATGGGGCCCCAACCCATGTGCATGGTGGGCAGGGCATATCCTTAAAGACCTGGGCTGGTCCCATTACTACCGTATTCCCACAAACTGACTGGAGGAAAGCAGAGATCAGAGACTGAATTATAGGCACTGCTGAGTCAGCTTCTTCACTGCCCCTCCCCCTTCCCCGAGCTCCCTTGGGAAGGGAGGGTTTCCCCTTGGGCCGTGACAGCCCTCCTTGTCCACCCCATGGCCCTTCAGGACAGTCCAGTCCTGGGCAGATACCAGCTGGATACTGGCTGCTCTCCATCCTCAAGGGAATGCAAACAAAACTTCCCTGGTATTAAAACAAAAAGCAAACCAGAGAGACAGAGAGCCAAGAGGTCTTTACGGATTCTTTCCTTCCTGTGTGAGACCGAATGCTGGGCATGAGAGGGAAATGTCTCAGTGGGCACACAGATGCAGCACGAAAAACACAACCACAAGCGAGGCGAGTCCTCCATGCATGGCCAGGCGGTGGGCGCGGCTCAGATGTACACGGGCTGCTCCTGGGCGGTCAGCAGTCTGTACATGGCAGCCGGCATCGTCTTCATGTGGATCTGCGGGCAGGAGCACACGTCAGCGGGGCTGGGGCTTGAGGGCGGAGGGGCCTCCCACCATGGGTGGGTGTGAAGAGACCCCAAGCCCCACTGCTAGCCAGGGATCCAGGGGGCCTCCGGGCAGAGCAGGGCCCACAGGCTTTCTAAAAAGTTAGGGGTGATAGAGTAACAAGGAAAACCAGGTAAGGTTTGTTTTCCTAAATGCTTTTGTTCTCCTCAGACCTTTTTATTTAAAAAAAAAAAGGAGAGAAGAATTCCTGAACTGGAAGGGAACAGCTGTGGGGTTCTCACTGCTCCTGCCCCCCTCCTCGCTAGCAGCTGGGGGAGCTCAGGAAATGAGCCTGAACAGCCTTGACGACCTGGGCCACGTCTGTGTCAGGGACGCCCCCTGGGGGCTGTTCTGCTGATTAGACTTGAACCTAAGACAAAGCTTCCAGGCTCATGTGGCAACGTTAGCTGGGGTAAAAGGAACCAGACAGAAGCTGGACAATCGGAGAGTTAATAGTTTTTTTTTTTTTTTGCTTTTCTTTCTTTTAGATTTAGAAGTGAGATCAAACAGTATTTGTCTTTCTCCTTTTGACTTATTTCATTTACCACTATATCCTCCAGGTTAAAAAAACAACAACTCAGATTCCGCGGACAGGGAGGTGGACCAGAGGGGAAGAGGGTTGGGCAAAAAGGCTGAAGGGGGCCAGCTGCGCGGTGATGAATGGGAACTAGATTTTTCAGGTGATCATTTTGTAGTGCCTGCAGATATCCAAAATGATACTGTCCATCTGAAACTTACATATTTAAAAAAGAAAAAGGAACGTGAACAAATCATTCTACAGGTGACCTGGTCTTGCCTCATGGAGATGCTCTCAGACAACCTTTCATTAATGACGCTGAAGTCTGGTCTGAGACAGACTGTCCTGCCATGGAGGAGTGTTTAGGTTTGGGAGGGACACTTCCTGGAGGCGTGGCTGGGGTACCGGGGACACCCTGTCCGGCCCCATCCCTACCTCCCCGACCGCGTTGGAGAGGATGTGGACGATCTTCTCGTGGGGGGTGGCCACCACGCTCTGCCCGTTGATTTCGATGATCCGATGGCCCACGCGGACTCCTCCTCTCTCGGCGATTCCCCCTCGCATGAGGCTGCAGATCTGTCAGGGTCAAATGCCAAGTTACCTTCTCGGGCAGGGGACTGGGTGGGGACAGAAGGTGGTCTTTTCTGGACCCCCTGCTCCCTGCAGGCTCATCTCTGAGCAGCTGCCATGGTTAGGCTTCGGGCATTGAAATCTCTTTGTTTCTTTCCACAAGAAATAGGGTCCTGGACGCTCAACGGCCAGCTCCTTCATGCACTTTGCACAGGGGGTGTAGCGTGTCCCTGGATTTCACGCACACTTTGGGCCTGTCACTGCTGCCAATGTTTTCACACCGTCAGCCTATAGAATTCAGGTGAGCTTTATTTCCCACGATCACCAGTGGGACCCAAACATCAAAACGTACAATGCTAGCAGCCACTTTTTAGGGTCACGGTTGCATGGGCCAAACTGGGGTTGGAACCCCACTCTGTGTTCCAGAGTGTGGCCAGCTGGAGGGGAGCTGCTCCTTTTGCCTTTCCCAACGCAGTGGCTCTTGATCTGTCACTTCTCACAGAAGTGACAGTGCGGCTGGGTGCTGCCCGGTGGGTGGGCAGAGGCTACAGGCTGGGGGAAGCCAGCCCGCATGGCCTCATTTGGAGGGCTCCGAGCTCACCACTGCAGGGGATGGCCACCCCCGCCTCGCACACAAAACAGCTGGAGTTCTCCCCAAAGAACATGTTTTGAAATTACAAAGTTGACTTTTCACTCCAAACTGTGCGCCTCTGTTTAAAAGCCTGTGCAGACGGGGCTGCCAGATCGTGCCACGTGGAAACCTTCCGCGCATCAGGTGCTCTCCGTCAGAAGGTTCCTTCGGTGCTGACCACACTTCAAATCAGAACGAGGCCTCCACAGACCCACATCTATTAAACAGCAATCCTCTGATCCTATGTGAACTTTTAATATTATCCAATGTTAACAAGCAGGGAAGTATAAATGGATAGAAACATGATGTCAGACTAAAACCATAAGGAGTAATCTGAGCTCCTCTCCAAAAGCAGAGGATGCTACATGGGCACAAAGAGTCAACTCCAACTGGGGACTTCAAATGGGTATTTCCAAACCTTAAATCATACTTGGAATAACATTCTGATTACCTACAACTCTTATCTGAAATTTGAGGTAAAAAGAATAGAGTTTTTTCCTCTGGAAGGATGAATGCAAAAAGCACACCCCAAATCCGTCAAATCCAAGGGCTCCAGAGGGCAGACCTGCCACCCAAACCCAGAATGACGTGGTCTGACAGAATGGCTGAGCACAGAAAGGCCCGCCTGGCAAAAGGAAAGGGTATTGAGTGTGGAGTTGGGATGAAGAAAACGTCCTGGAAAGGGAGTGATTATGGCCATACCACTTTGAGAATGTACTTAATGCTACGGAATTCTACACTGCAAAGTAATTTAAATGGCCAGTTTACCAGGATACAAAAAGGAAGTATAATTTTAAGGCCAGCATCCAAGTAATACAAATGCTCACTATCCCCAAAGTGCCAATTGAGGTTAACAAGGCAAAGCACGGATTAGTCATGCACAACAGCCAGGGGGGCCGGGTTCTCAGCCTGGGCTGTGAGCTGGCATCACGGGAGCTTCGCGCACCCCCCCCCCCCCACACACACACCCTGGCTCGGGAGCAGCAGCTCAGCAGGAGCTGGAGTGTACTGCCAAGGGTGGTGATAAGGTGGCAGTCCTTCAAGGCCAGGGGGAAGGAAGCTGGTACATCCCAAACTACCTGGAATTAGCAGCTGGCCGGGCTGCCCTGCATGGTCACAAGGACTCGGGCTCCGAGGCCAGGGCTCGGAGAAGGGCCTCTCTCGCCTCACGCTGGGAGGCACAGAATTCTCTGTCCAGAGAGGAAGCTGCGCCTGCCTTCACCTGGTCATCCCCTTCCCTGCCGAATTCTTACAGGAAACTGACCGGCTTTGAAAATTAAAAATAAAATACCATTCCTTAGACTGTTATGTAGTCCCAGAGACGTGGGAGTGGAGTACAGACTGACAATCCCCAGAAGAGGGGGTGGTGGGGAGAGATAAACCACAGAACTTATATGCATGTATGCATGACCAATGGACATGGACAACTAAGCTGGGGACAGGGCAGGGAGGGAGGGGGAGGGGGGAGTCAGTGGGGGAAAAAGGAGAAACATCTGTAACAAAAATAAATTAATAAAATAAAATACCAAACAGTGAGCCAGGTGTGTCAGACTTTCGGAGAAGGGCGTGGGTCGTACTTACAATTCCGTTCTGGACGCTGAAGCCCAGCTGGTAGCGCAGGTCTGGTCTCCGGATCAGCACGGTGGTCACCGGAGGACACCTCACGATATTCAGCTTCACCCGGGCCTGGTTCTTCAAGCCCTGAGAAGTGAAGGAAGCCTGGTGGATATGGCGATGCCCCAGGCAGACAGAGCAGACAGCACCAGAGGCGAAAGGAGCCCCCCAGAGGCCTCGTCCCTCCGCGGACCTGCAGCCCCGCACTGTGCTGCCAGGCGCATCCGCTCGGAACCACCTGCTTTGCGGAGCCCTGTGGTCCACTGCGGAGACCGTGCCTGTGGGCACTGTCTTCATTTGGAAAGGGGGCTGTGTTCAAGGGACCTGAATAAAGTGGTCATCGGTACAACAAAGAGGAAAACTGCTTCAGGTTTCTTTTGGTTTGGACGATGAAGGATGTACAGTCTCTCCCTGGTTGGGAGACACACACATGGGAAACAGACTTCCTCCGTATGGCAAACCCTGCAATCCCTCCTCTTCGAACAGAGAGCATCTCATGCCCGGCGACTGGCCCAGTGCACCAGGGCTCATCTTCTCTCCGTCTGGAATGCTCCTGCTTCCCCGTCCTCTCTCCTGTTAGAGATTTTGTCAACATTCCCACAAGCCCCCGGGGAGAAGCAGGGAGCAGACAGGACCCTCTGTGGAGACCTCCTTGGGAGAATAAAAGGGTGCTGCTGGGGAAGGAAGGACACAGGAGGTAGGACTGGAGATTGTCGTGGCTTCATGATCCTTATTAATGTGTCCCGCCCTCCAAGTCAGGATGCAGTGTAGGGGAAGGTGCTCGTTACAGATGAAGAGGGGACTTGGCCTGGTTTCAGAGCCTGTTTAGAGAGCATCCTCCGCCCACTCTCAGGCCCACCTTGTTGTGTCTGAACACAGGGCAGCCACCAGCCCTGGTGTGCTCAGGAGCCCCCCTAGAAAGTCATCTCAGAGCTTTGCTTTCCCTCAGGGAGGGGATGGTTTTGCTCCTACAGGTCCTACCACTGACTTGTGAGCTTCACCCTAAAAGGAGGCTGCGTACCAAAGTAATGCAGCCCTGGAATAAACGTCCACCTCCCAAGTCTCTGGAGACCACCTGCTCTGCTCAGCTAAAGCCCGTGTGCCGGAGGGGCCAGACCAAATGGCTCGTAGCAGGTGTTTTCCAACCCGTTTCAAGTCATGGTCCACAGAGGAAAAGACGATGTACTTGCACCCTGGGGTAAACAGACCGCGGGGCTTGTGGCCGGGGCCCTGCAGCCTGGCCCCTGCTGACTGGGGAAAGCTCCCGGTCAGCCCCAGTCCCAACCCTCCAAAGGGTCAGAGGGGAAGGGGAGACGCTGTTACTAAATGACGGGACCGTGGGTGGGTGGGCCGCCTCTCCTACGGCAGCCACCAGAGGAGGGGCAGGTGTTCAGGAAAAGGTGGGCTCTATTCCCGCCAAGTCTGCAGTACCCCCTGGAGACAGCTCCTGATCAGTTAAAAAATGGGTCCAGTGTGTGCCCTCCATGGGCAAAGTGGAGAGAGAGATCTGGGACGACAATGACAAACCCATTTCAGCCTGAAAAAGGATCACCTCTGACTCTGTAAATATAACTCTGCAAATTCCACAGCTATTGCTGCCGACAGCCACTCCTTGCCCAGTGTGTGGGGGTCAGGACTTCTCTTTCCCATTTTACAGGTGAGGACAGAGTGGACACGAAACCTGACTTGCCTTGGCCAAGGCCCTGTGGGGTCAGAATTGGGATGACGGCTCCCCTGCTCCGGCCCCTGCCTTCCTCACACGCACCTTGCCTAGCAGAGAGGTGGAGCTGGTGTCCCATGACTTCCACACCAACAACATCTGTGGCAAGAGTGTGGCTTTGCCTCTCTGAGTGGCATCAGTGACCCACACTCCTTTGTTTCTCAGCAATGCAGATATGCTTTTAGATGGATGGGTAGGGATTTTCTGCCTCTGGTTGTCTGGCTTTATTATGCTTGGCTGATAGGTATATGCTAGTGGTCCTCAAAGAGGGGACCCCACGCCGGAGGCAGCAAGACCTGGCCACCCAGACCTACTGAGTCAGAAACTACAAGGGTGGGACGCAACACTCTCTGTTAACATCCTCCCGGTGACACTCAGTTTTGAGACCACTGCAAAACAATGAACTCACCTGCCCCCAGGTGACTTAGAGCCAATGATGTCCACTTACCACTGAGCCCTGGCCAGTGTGCTCTGGGAGAGCAGGGGCTAGCACCATCTGTGGGGGTGAGGGCTTGTGGGAGAGTTGGCTGGTCTGATGCTCAGTCAGCCATCTGTACCAGGTGCGAGTGCCCGAGAGCACTGTCCCTCAACCCATTCTGAAGTGGAACCAGCCAAACCACCTGCCCCTGAGCACCGGCGCTTACCAGGCTCAGCTGGAGGGTCCCAGGAGCTGCCCTTTCATCTCCTTGACAAACTGGCAGTTGTAATTATGCCCATTTTACAAAAGAGGAAACGGGGGCTCAGAGATACTAAGCAACTCACTCAAGTTCACCCACAGGTCTGGATTCAAACCCACAGCATGTTCTCGCCCAGCCTGAGCCTCCAGATAGACAATGGGAGGGACTGTGTCATCACGAGTCAGGCTTGCTCAGCCATGAAGCCAGGGAGAGCGAGGGAAGGTCGACCCTGTGCCCCGGGTCTTTTACTCCGGCCCTGCAGGGGGCCATGTTTTCTGCTGCCTTTCCTGCCTTGTGAGAGGTCAAGGCTCCTGCTGCTGGCTTCCCCGGTTTGTTCAATTCCAGTTTTTCCTCTCAGCGTGTGCATTTTGAGGGGATCCATTTACGTTCCCACCTCCAGTGTCTCGGCCTGTTCTGAACTGCTCTGTTTGCTGTGGGATTTGAGTCTCCTGTTGGCTGTAATTTGGCTTACGGTTACTTGATGTACATACGCAGGGAGCAGTGATCAGCGTCTCCCTGCAGCTTCTGGAACATCTCGGGGAAACCTCTCTGGTTCAAGAAATGATCATTTCAAAGCGAAGCGAAGGTGAGCTGAGAAGGACTCCCCCTGGCCTTCTGCAGGGCAGCGGGTCCGCCGTCCACGCCGATGCTCCAGCTCTCTGCTGATAATGGCAGGGCTTGCTGAAGGGGACACTGCTGTGCCAGGGGCCCTGGGCTCCAGGTGTGTGTGCCACCACAGGCCGCGGAGCCTTAGACACTGCCCCTCCCCCAGTCTCATCGCAAACATATGGCGCCCCCCACTAAGCTCTCTTCCAGTTCTATGATTTCATTCCTTTTCATGCTTTTTCCCCTTTCCTAAATGTGTTCGCCAACACCACATTATGCTTAGAAATACCTATTTCTAAAATTAAACATAGGCAGGGAGGAGGGTCAGCGCAGACATCATTCGTGCATGTATTTCTTTTCCCTCTGAGTGCTTCCTCTTTCTCCTTCACCGAATCAACGAGCGATTTGGGACCACTTGCTATGTGCCAAGAACGGCGCGGGTAGAGCAGGGCCTCCCGGAGCACGGGGGAGGGCTTCGGGGCCCCGGGCCGAGCAGCTAGAGGGCCTGGGCCCCTCCACTTTCCCTCTCTCCACAGTCACGCCCCACGAGACCCGGATGTGGGAAGCAAGAGCAAAGAATGCTGAAGGCAGAGCAGCCAGTCAGAACCACAGTCCTTCCTTCAAAGCCGCCTGCTTTACACGTTTACACCTATGACCCACTGGGGTTACTTAGGTGTCTGTCAGGCACAAGACAGCCCCACGGGCCTCACAGAGCATACGGACAAGCAGCAGGAGGACTGTTTTCCCAATGTCATCTGAGAAGTTCATAGTGCTCTGGTGGGTTCCTTCTGTGGGAATTCATTTAAGACGCCTGGTCCGTCCCCCAGTGCACGCCTTCTGGATGGGGCCGTGGGCTGCGTGGGGAGGCTTGGCCTCCTTTGAAACCACCCGGCCCTCCGTTTGCTCAGCCGCTCCCAATCAGTGCTTCACATCGGGTCCCACTTGCTTGCATTTCTGAGCTGCCATTTTATTAGAGGTGCCAATTAAATGCACGGTCATTTCGTCCCCATGACAACAGTGGAATGGTACAGCAAATTAAGAAATCGGGTGGGAAGGGAAGGGTCGGGAAGTGGGGAGGGGAGAGGAGAGAAGCCAGAGTGGTCTCTATGGCAACAGGCAAGCAGAACCAGGGTGATCCAGTGGAAGGAAGGGGAAGCGGTGTGCTCTAGTTTAAGAAAGAGGAAAAAAAAATCAGGGGGCAGGACCGTGGAGGCAATGAGCAGGCAGACTGCAAACACGCTTGGCCTATCAATTATTATGCTTTGGCAATAATGTCAGGAAAAATAAGAGATAGGGAAGAAACAATTAAAATAATTCAATACCTATAACTCTATTCTAGAAGTGTATTCTATTTCCTATTAACTAGGGGGAAAAGGTCAACCTGCATTAAGGTGGCAAGACATGGAACGCATGGCTCATTCCCCAAAGTGCTGCCTGAGACGGGTGATGTCAGCACCCGCAGCTTGTGGGGATGCAGAATCCCACCCACATCTGCTGAACCAGAACCTGCATTATAATGAGATCCCCGGGTGATTCAAGTCAAAGTTTTCGAAGCACTGATTTAGCAGGATGACAGCTGCTGGTTCAATTCATTGCAGGGGCGCTGACTACTGAAATAATGCTAAGAGGAAGCCATGAAGGGGCCCAGAACAGCCCTGCAGTGCCCCAAGGTGGTGGGGCAAAAAGGGTGTGTTCTCTACAGAATTTCATTTATTTATTATATTTTTTAATCCTCACCCAAGGATATTTTTCCATTGACTTTCAGATAGAGTGGGAGAGAGGGAGGGAGGGAGGGTGGGACAGAGGGAGGGAGGGAGAGAGAGAGAGGGAGGGAGGGAGGGAGGGAGGGTGGGAGAGAGAGAGAGAGATATTGATGTGAGAGAGACACATTGATTGGTTGCCTCCCACACGACCCTGACCATCAAACTGCAACCGAGGTACATACCCTTGACCGGAATCGAACCCGTGACCTTTTGGTTCTCGGGCCAATGCTGTAACCACTGAGCCAAACCAGCCAGGGCTCTACAGAATTTTAAAACAACGTTACAATCCACTAAACATTTTCATTCGGTACTGGCGATCCAGCTGAAATCAGCGGTAACATCTTCCCAGCCGGGGGTGGGGGGTGGGGGTGGGGGGCACCATGGTTAAGCCACTTTCCCTTCCACAAAGGGGTGCCTCGGGCGCTGGGGAAGGGCAGCCGGTTCCTAGTGGGCTGCCACTGAGTACTTCTCTGCTGACGGTGGGCACAGGGCACTGGTTTTCATGCTGTCCATCTTCACAGTTACACCTCGTTCATCACCGCACCGCCTTTTAATTGTCTGATTTCAGACACTCCATTTATAGACATCGAAGGTCAGCTATTCATGCAAACTCATCTTTTCTCCGTAGGAAACTGCGCAGGCAGTGCTGACTGTCCTCAGTGAGCTTGGTTTCCACCTAGATGTGTGGTCCACGCACAGACGACGAGTCCCGCGTGCTGCCGGGGGAAGTCCGAGCTGCCCGCTGGGTCTCAGCCTGCCTCATGTCATCTGCTCCTTCCCGCAGAGGAAGGGAGGGCGGGGAGGGGGATCTGGACTTGTGTGTCAGCCGGGGGGTCCAGGGCAAGTCACCTTCAGAGTCTCTGATGGGCCATCTGTAAACTGGGTGTTTGCTATCCCCTCCCTAACGGGCTGTCTGTCATGAAGAGGGAGGGAGGTGACTCTCTGAAGGGCTGGGCACTGTCTGGCAGGTGCGGCAGGGCGCTGGCATGCAGCTGTGCCAGTCCTCAGCAGGTCCTGCTTATTCCCACCCAGGCCCCAGCTCCACCCTGGCTCACATTATCTACACTTCCTGCTCCTCCTCCCCAAACCCTTCCAGACCCAGATCAAGTCCCCACAAACCCTCCCTCACTGACCTCCCTCTCCCGACTTCTCCCCCCCACATCCGAACCCGCATGTGCCTAAGTCGGGCCTTCCCAGCCTCGGCACTGTTGACATTTGGGCGGGGTGAGCCTTTGCTGGGGGCTGTCGTGCGCACTGAAGGATGTTGGCAGCGTCCCTGCCTCCACCCCTGAGGGCCAGCAGCATCCCACCTCCCTAGTTGTGACCACCCAAACTGTCTCCAGACATTGCCAAATGTCCCTGCGGACTGGGTTCAAGACCCCCCGGTTGGGAACAACTGCCCCAGGTGATGGTCTGGATTACTGAGCCGGGACAATCCTGTTGAGACTTACTGGAGAGAGTGCTGTGGCTGACGTGGGACACCTGCTGGTGGGCAGTCTCAGACGCCGGTGCTATCTGAGCCAACTACCCCGTCTGATGTGCAAACCGTTTCGGGAGGAGTCTATGAACGCCAGTCAACGGTAAACGACTGTGTGCAAGCCCCTGCCTTTCTGTCTCTCGGTGCCTGACACTGGGAATATGCTCAGAAATATCAGTGACTGAATCACAGTCGCACTCCGGTCTGCCACAGAAGTTGACTTCCCCCCATCGCCGGGTACCTTAATAATGCTCTGGCAGGTGGACAGAGGCAGGCCCACCAGGCTGGTGCCGTTGATGGACATGATCTGGTCCCCGATGTTCAGCTTCCCCGACTTCTCTGCCGGCCCTCCGTGCATCATGTTGGCTATGATCACGGTGGGCAGGATGGAGCCCCAGCCGGACTCCACGATCACCACACCTAGGATCTCTCCTTTCTGCTTCTCTATGAAGACCTGAACGGAGAGAAACGCGCAGCCTGAATCAGCAGCACGCAGGGCGGCGGCAGAAATCAAGGCATTTGCCCTCCTCCTGCCTTCACTAAAGACGAGAGACATTTCCTGAGGACTCCAACCCACACGAGTCCTGTCTTCTCTGTGTTCCACGGCTGTGTGAAACGGTTTAACACAGGCCCATACCCGATTTTGGTACTCTTGTTCCATGTAAGCAGTCTTGACTTGGCAAAACAACTATGAAGGGCACAGTATTGTTTTTTTTCCTATAGTCCCTAGTGAGGGTGTGTATGTGGGTGGGTGTGGGGGGCTATGTAAGGGGGAGCTTTGGTGGTGAGTTATGGCTTCCAGAAATAGCTTTTGGATTGATGCACTGGCTCCCCTACAGTGCTTCACAAATTCTCTCCAACATTTAAGATTCTTGAATTAAAAGTAAATAGATCACAGAAACACTGCTCTGTAAGGAGAAAGCTGCAGGGAAAGAAGGAAAAAAAAAGCTCAAGTTATCACCACCAAAAGGTTGGAAGTGCAGACAGGAAGACCATGTTCTAGACAGGCATGCCTGTTTGTAGCCTTCCTGGGCAGGGTGGAGAAGACAGGAGTTCATTTGGGATATCTGTTGTCTGATGAGGTTTGCAGAGACACACAAAGGGCTGGGATACTTCTTGGAAACATCTACCAGAGTTGTTTCCAACAACTCTGTGTGTGCATTTATCCATCCCTATTCATAGACACACATATGCTCAAACATACACTATTCTGGTGGCTGCTGGGGCCTGACAGAGCCTCCTTCACAGGTTGATGTCCCCTACCCCCCACTGCTGGAGCTCATGGTTGGCCCCTTCCATGGAGAACTGCCCTTAGTCAAATGGGAGACACTCAGAATAGGACCTTACTTGCATACAGAGTCTTTACAGAGGTAATCAAGTTAAAATGAGGTCATTAAGGTGGCCTCTAATCCAGGATGACCAATGTCCTTATAAGAAGGGGACATTTGGGCACAGGGACAGGTGTAGAGGAATTCAGCATGAAGACCTGGGGAGAAGACACCCATCTATAAGCCAAGGAGAGAGGCTTGGAACAGATCCTTCCTCTGAGCATTCAGAAGGAACCAACCTGATACATTCCAGATCTCAGACTTCCAGCCTCAGAGCTGGGAGATACTACATTTCCCTGGTTAAAACCATCCAGTCTGCAGTATCTTGTACTGCACACTGGTACGGCCCCATCCAACCCTGGTGTCAGGGTACAGAGGCCTGCCAGTCCTCTTGGCCCTAGGTGGGCACATCCGGCCTGTGACTTGTCACCCAGAGCATCTCTGTGGATCAGACTAAAGCTCACCCCCAGTAAGGCCCCATCCCTCCCCTGCATCCCCAACACCCTGCTGCCCACACTCTTTCCTGAGTGCATTCTACCCCCAAATCCTGTGAACAAGAATCCCCATCTCAGGCTCTGCTTCTAGGGAACCCAGGACACCTGCATACACTAATGGATCAAGAGATCCTTTCCTCACAGAGAAATATTTTACCTACTGGATCAAGTCCAAGCTGCTCAGCGGGACTTGTGAGGCTCCCAGCTCAGACCTAGACCCCATGCTGGCCGCCTCCTGTCTTTCCTACACGCGCCCCCTGCTCCAGCCACACGGCCTCACTTAGGGCTCCCCAGACCATTCCTGAGCTCTTCTGACCTTCATGCTTCTGTGACGTTGGCCCTGCCCTCTGCACAATCCCAAAACTTCCCAAAGAACACCCCGACCTCCGCGCCAGCTCAGGCGGCCCCGTTTCCCTCCGGCCAGCCCTGCGGAGCTGGGGTGCAAGCAGCGGGGCCACCCTGCAGGAGTAGAGCACTTCTGGTCTGAAACCCCGGCCCTGCTCCATCCTGCCAAGCAGTTGTCTTTGACTAACGCTTGTTCCAGCACCATCATTTCATGTTTCCATGCCCTTTCCTAGCCTGTGGGCTGGGTGAGGGCAGACTGCAGGTCCTGCTGCCCCTGGAACCCACCCCGGATTTAGCTCACGCTTGCTGGGGGCACAGGATGCTCCTCCTTAGTGACGGCCCTCCGCAGCCGTCTCCAGTCACAGAGCTTCATGCACGGGGAGCCAGAGATGGGCCTGAGCCCTTAGCAACGTCCTGTTGACCCTACACTCTTTGTCCCCTACCCCCCCGGGCTCCCTGGAGCTCCTACCCGACTGGCCCAACCTGGAACAGCTTCAGGAAAGTACCTACATCTTTGCAGTTTTCCGACTTGGAGAAGTGGATCAGGTCATCATTGTACATGTCCTGGGTGTTGAGCAGGTCACTATACTCCTTCTGGCTGAGATCTTCAGGGTTAATCCCGTTGGCCCTGAGGAATTCCTGGTATGCCACGCTAAACGCTTGCCCGATGGACTGCGCAATCAGCTGGGCCTAGACAGCAGCCAGAGAGGGGAGACGAAGGTCAATAGGGCAGCTCTGTTGGTGGACAGCCGGGGCCCCGGCAGGACTATGGAGCCCAAGGCGTCAGCTAGGCCAGTGGGTCTACATGGGGCACTAGTGCTTGCTGGAGGTCACTTTCAAAATTCATGGGGATGTTTTCTGTTATGACAATAATCACAAGGGAGCTACTGGCAATCGGGGAACGGGAGTTAGAGATGCTGGACCTACAATCATGCAAAGGACAGTCCTACACTTTGTTTTTTTTTTTATCCTCACCCGAGGACATTTTTTTGTTCAGATAGAGTGGGAGGGGGAGAGAGGAACAGAGAGAGAGAGAGAGAAACATCGATGTGAAAGGGACACATTGAGTGGCTGCCACCCACATGACCAACCAGGGCCGGGGACAAACTGCAACCAAGGTACGTGCCCTTAGCGGGAACCGAACTCGGGTCTCTCAGGACCGCAGGCCGACGCTCTAACTGCTGAGCCAAACCGGCCAGGGCAGTCCTACACTTTGAAGATCACTGATCTCCTACATAATTTTCAAATATCCCACTGGATGTCCATTCATGTACATGATGTACATGTAACCCCTGTGTCTAATGATCTGAGTTCAGGACTCCATTTGAGTTTATATAAAAACACAAAGACTTTAATTACACACACGGAATGTTCCAAGATCACAACTGCTGTGTAAACGGAGAGCAGGCATTTTGCTCAGGCCATCACTTTACAAGCTTCACGACTTTGGAAAATCAACATAAATGCTGTTCCTGGTGTCCGGGTGCCAATGGGTCACATTGCTATTGGCCTGCACACATGCCGTCCGGGGCGGCAACTGTCTGCGTGGGTGTGTCTACCTCCTGGCCCATTTTCTTAGCCCTGAACTCAAAGTGTCAAAGAGAAAGTGTTCACGACATTCAGCTGGATCCTGTGTTCTCACGCCCAAACTTACTGATCAAGTAGGTGCAAGCACCCGATGACTCCACTGTCCCGGCTGGGACGGTTGGACCCACACATTTACATGCTGTCCTGAGTACAATGCTATTTTAGCCTGGCTCCCTTCGCTTCTCCTTTGTGTTACATTGATGGCAACACTTTTTTATTTTTATTTTTTGTTATCCTCACCCAAGGACAATTTTGCATTTATCTTCAGATAGAGCGGGAGGGAAAGAGAGGGGAAGAGAGAGAAATGTCGATGTCAGAGAGACACATCGACTGGTTGCCACCCACACAGCCCCATTGGGGCCGGGGACAAACTGCAACCGAGGTACGTGCCCTTAGCGGGAACCGAACCTGGGGCTCTGGTCCACGGGCCGACGCTCTAACCGCTGAGCCAAACTGGCCAGGGTGCAACACTTTATTCTGTAAAGATGTTTCCAAAAGGAGAGGTCATATTATCTATGAATTTCATTTCAGGATGCTATCTGGGCACCACAACACACCTAGTCCAACCCTGCATTTTCCAAGTGAGGAGATTGAGGCTCAGAGACACAAAGGAACCTGCTCAAGGTCACACAACCCACAGGACGGGAACTCTGCTTCCACTGTTCTCTCCCCCGCACTGGGCTTTGATGCCTTTTCCGACGTTAATGCATCCACAGTCTGACTCAGGGTAGCCAGCAGCAACCAGGCACTTCTTCCGGGCCTGCGGTGCGCTCTGCTTTGTGAGGACGTTACATAAGCCCTCCCGTGAGGCTGGGGCTGACGGAAGTATGCCTGGTCCCCAGCCCTCCCCCTGAGTGCTGAGGCTGTTTCAGAATTCAGATAATACCATTCAGTGTGCAATAACCCTTCCAGGGCCCGGGGAAGTGCCCTCTCAATGAACACAGGAACGTTCCTGGAGCAAAATGCGCGGGATCCACGGGAAGCGGGGCAAATCCTGGCAATGCTCTCACGGCAGTTCCGGCAGGTTCCCAGCACATCGACTACCAAAACCCGTTTGTCGGAGCTCTTTAGACTTTGGGACTGTGGCTCTGTTTTCCTGTCCCCTCAGACAGACTGGGAGACAGGGGTCGAGAGGTTAAGTTGTCCACTGCCTGGGAAGGGGCTGTGGTGGAGGGCTAAATCCTGGCAGGCGGATGTCCGAGTCCATCCTCCTGCCCACCATGCAGGACTGACTCTCAGTGAAATTCGAATGGGTAGAAAAACAAAATAAAGTCTCTAGAGTGATGTTTTACACACAGACACACTTCTAACTTTTCTGCTTTCCCTACCGTCACTAGTTTTTGCTAAAAGCAGCTAATTCACAGTGATGATAGTCTTTCTGTGTGGCTGGCCATGGGGAAAGAAACGCTTAACTTCTCTCATTCCGAGAATCTGGTGACTTCACGGGCCACAGGTCCCCTCAAGAGCCAGCACCCTGCATCCTGCTGGAGAAGTAGAAGGTGGTGGGGCATCTCTTCGGGCATCAGAGGCATGCGTGGACAGATGGGCTGAGCACTATACGCCTGGGAACATGGCCAGCCGACGGCTGACCTCCACGCACGAATGCACACAGTGAACACATGCTGCTGCTATTTCTGTAGCACGCATCAGTCACACAGCAGCCCGACGAGGGGACCCGTCTCCTGCAGAAGCTCAGCGGCTGCACAGCTGGCGCATGGTGACGGGACTCTCAGGGAGCTCTCCCAGGACTGGAGCCAATGCTCTTCTTTTGTCCTCTGCTTAAAAGGCCACGGGTAGGATTCCCAGGTCCATTCTTTCCTTTCCTCGTCTGCCCTGACAGAGAGCCGGAGGAAAAGAAGGCCCGCTTGGGACTCCAGGTCAGATGCAGGTGGCAGAGGGACCCTCAGACGTACATGTGTGCGTACGGGGAGCCTGAGGCCCAGCGAGCAAAGCTAACCCCACCTTTTCACGGCCTGCGGACCCGTGAGGCTTCAGGTTCTTAATTGGAGTCTAGCAGAACTTTCTGAGACTCATTTTCTCCCAGTGTGGAGGTCTGGCCTCTGTTTTAGAGGAACAGCAGGGAGCAGGCAGGGACAGGCACTGCAAGCTGCCTTCTGGGCGACCTTGTCCCCTTGGTTCCTTTCTAGAGAACCAGGCCAGTAAAGGGTGGCGCAGAACATGGGCGGCCCTCCGCTCCGTGCTGCAGCGGGACAGCTCTGGGCCCCCGCAAAGCAGCTTGCTTCTGGCTCCTGGCTCGTTGGAGGAAGGCCCCTCGCTACAGCTGGAGGAACACTTGCATAGAGGAGAAATGGCCTCTTAAAGGAACCAGGGTCACCACAGGCAATATTCTTTGAATAGTAAGGGCTCTCTGCTCAGTGTGAGGGACAGCGCTTATTTCATTGTGGCAGGGGGAAGAGATCACAGTCAGTCACTGAAAGGGCCGCTTGGTGGTCTCTGCAGTGCAGCAGCACCACGGGCTGTGGTCCGGCCTGGAAGGGAGTGTCCGAGGCCTGCCCAGCTTTGGGAGACACTCGAATGCTGATGCAGCTCGACGCTGGTGGCCTCGCCAGCATTTCCAGTCACAACTGGGGAAGGAGACTGAATGGAAGAATGGGTCCCATCTCTGTTGTAAATTTTCTCTGTTTACTTCATCATCTGGAGAGATGAGGGTTAGGAACCACTGGCTTTCTGACAGGAGGAGCAGCTGGTTTTCATAAGGACTGAAGGTGGGTAGGTGTGTGAGCAGGAATCCAGATGTTGCTACAGCCTCTAGGGCCACATAAATAGCCAAGGACTTTATTCCGAAATGCCCTACTGCCCAGTTGAGACCTGCTTGGGTCCTCACAGGTCTGATCGAATGCTTCCCTCTCTTCTCTCATTTTAAGCTCTCCGGCAGTCTGGCCTCCTTGTGTTTCTTCAAGCTGCATCAGCAGGCCCCTGCCTCAGGGCCTTTGCACTTGCTCTCCTCTCTCACTTTATTCAGATCTCTGCTCAAGTCTTGCCTCATCAGAGACAACTTAGTTGATCATTCTACCTGAAACAATCTCTGGCCCTTTATCCTGACCTACTTTTAATTTTTCTTTATCAACTTCCCTTTACCTAATTTAAAAAATGCTTTTATTGCTTTTTGAGAGCGATAGGAAGGTAGAGAAAGACAGAAACATCGATGTGAGAGAGACACATCAATTGGCCGCCTCCTGCATGCCCCCCACTGGGGATTAAGCCCAGACCTCTGTCCATGGGATACACTCAATCCACTGAGCCACACAGGCCCATTACTTAATTTTATATTAAGTATATTTATCCATTTATCTTGTCTCTCTACAACCCTCATGAGTATCTCATCTATTTTACTCAGCCTTGTATCTCTGTTATAGAGATACAAGGCTGAGTAACACACAGTAGGTGCTCAATATTTGTGTGATTCAGGACCTGAGAGAGAGAGAGAGAACCAGGAGCAGCTCAGGTCACTGAAGGGAGACGGGGGGAGCCACCCTTACGTCCTCAGACTCGAAGACATGGCAGATCATCTTGTACTGCCTTTTCCCATCCTGGGACGGGTGCGAGGCTTCCACGTTCTCCTGGGAGTTGGAGCGTGGCATCCGCCTGCGGGCCATCAGCACGACAATATTCCCGATGTCTGCGATGTAGGAAATGGTCCTCAGAGGGTGGTCCATCATTGTCTCCTGGAGGGCCAAAGGGAGGGCGGTAAATCCAGTGCCCCAGCCAGTGCCCCCAGAAGAGTCTGCCTCCCCACCACCCGGCCAAATGTGCTCTGTATGCGAGGGGCTCCCGCTCACTGCAAAGACCCTGCTAGCAGACATATGTGCACCCAACCAGGCCTGGGGCGATTCCCTTGGCCAATAATAACCCAGGGAAGGTTAAAAAAAAAAAAAAAAAAAAGATAAAAAATTGGCATGTGATGGTTGCATTTTGTTTTGTGTGGTGTGTGTGCGATTTTAAATAAAATTTCTTAGAAGTGTAATTTATTCAAGTTCATGAGTCTTCTGATAAAAACTTATGAGAATTGTTACCAAACAACATCCACAGTTTATTTTTTCCTTTGATTTTAAAGAAAACAGTCCCAAGGCTCCCTACACCCCCGCCCCCACCTTCTGGCTTGTTCAGAAGCAGAACCTGGGGATGGCCCCTCTGCAGACACGGACAGGCACAGCCTCTGGGTTGCATGCTGCTAAGCTTCATCCCCAGGAAAGGTGGGAGCCAGGTAATACCTGCGTGTCAGCATTCAGTACTTTGATTCTCTGTGTAGAAATGAAGAGATCCACTTCAGTCATTGGCTGAGATTCGCCTTCAGGAGCCTGAGAAGAAAAAGGCACCACGGGAAAGCTTAGTACATTCTTCTGACCCAGATGACGGGAGCAAGGTGAGCTGACACACAGAGGCATCGAGACACAGTCACCAGAACAGCAATGCAGACTCCAGAATTAGGGTGCCAAAGCTGAAGCTACCACACAGAGGATGGACACATGGGCGAGAGTTAGCATTTGCAGGTTACAAGAAAAAATGCAAAATTCCCTTTGCTTCTTCCGCTCTAGAAGCAGTAACGCACTGCAGCAGACTGGGCTCTATGAACAAGGATTGCCAGAGGCCCTCTCTGCAAGCTTTTGGAGCCCCGCATATTGAAGGAATAAGGGCAGCTGACTTGACACCACAGGACCTTGGCAAAATCGGTCTGCCCTGCTCAAGCGATGGGGACAGTGTTTACAGCATGTGCAAAGAAAGTCATCTGAATGCAGTTCTGGTCAGAGGGTCTTCATGTTCACATACTGACAACAAAGAAGCGGTACCCTGAATCCACCCCATTAAGAAAGAGCTCAATGCGTCAATGTCCCACGTGTAGCTCATAAGCATCTAGAAGCTCCACATCCAAAAAAGCACATCAGTCTGGTTCATTTTTAAGGCTTAACTCTGCACATGTGTGGTTATTAGCAAGTTTTCTTTTTTGCATCCAGCAATCTGACAAATCCACAGATCAAACATGACTAGAATTGGACAGACCCAAGTCCCTGCCACATTAATGCTCCTGAATGGTGGGAACTTTCACACTAGCACAGGATTCATTTAGCGTCTCCAATCTGCTCCCTGCCATTCCTCTCCAGTGAAATGACTCATGAGCAACAGAAAACAGCCATTTTGGGCGACTGAGTTTTGAGAAACGTTGGCTTATGGAGCGGTTCAAAAAGAAATCTGAACGAAAACTTGCTGGATGCAGAAAACAAAAGCACGAAATCATAAAAAGGGAAAACATAAAGAGATGGAAAGAACAGGCATAACACCAAGCTGATGAAGTTGTTTGTACTGCACCTTCTTCCTGCTTTTGGCTAATTTCTGGGCCATCTGCTTAGCATGGAACAAACAGAGACAGGAGAACAGTTAGAGAAGAATTTGCAGAGACTCAAAGTCGAAAAGGGAATTGACAAACTAATACTGACAAATATAATACTGACTTTATATGTGTAAAGCACTGCTATGGGAGGAGGACTGACTTAAAAAAAGCCCCACTCAACAGACAATGGATCTCCTGACTGAGAATTTAGCAGATGGCAGGGGGAGTAGGAGGAAGGAAATGTATTGAGTTGCTTCTTATACTTAACTGTAATCAATGTTTCAAAGAACCAATTTTTGTTTCTGTTAGTTTTCTTTATTATATGCCTGTTTTCTATTTCATTGATTTCAGCCTCTATTTTTATTTTCTACTTTCTCTGAGCTGAATTTGCTTATTTTTCCCCCCTAGATTGAGATGAAAACTTAAATGATAGACTTTCAAATTTTTCTCTTTTCTGCTATATTTCTTTAAAGCTATGACTCTCCCTCCAAGCACTGCTTTAGCTTTATCCCACACATTTTTAATTTGTTGTAATTCAACTATCATTTCATTTAAAACATTTTCTGATTTCAGCTATGATTTCTCTTTTGAACTTTGGGTTACTTAGGATTGTGTTATTAATTTGAATACATCTGGGAATTTTTCTAGTTATCTTTTTGTTATTCATTTCTGAATTAATTCTACTGGGTCAGATAATATATTTTCATTTCAATCATTTGAAATTGGTTGAGTCTTAGCTGTATGGCCCAGAACATGACTGATTTTGGTGAATTTTTCATGTATATTTCAAAAGATGCATTTTGCAGCTGATGGGGAATGTCAATTAGGTCAAATACATTGGCTAAGAATACTGTTCATATCTTCTATGAACTTGCTGATTTTTTTGTCTGCTTATTCTATTTACTGAGAGAGGTGTATTAAGATCTCCAGCTGGTACTATGGATTTGTCTATGTCTACTTCTGTCAGTCTTTGCTTTATCCATTTTATAGCTATAAGATGCACACATATTTCCTGTTGATCTTTTGTTGTTTTCCCTTTAGTAATGCTTCTTACTTTAAATTTATGTAATATTAATATAGCCTACACTTAACTAGAAATGAATGTAATGCCCCCCTCTTTTCTCATAAGTAAAAGCACCGTTGATAAAAGCAGAGACTCTGAGGGTGAATTGTTTGAAACTGAACCTTGGCCCTGCTACCTAACTAGCTGTGTGACTTAGAGTAAGCAAGTTAACATCTCTGTGCCTCAGTTTATTCATCCGTCAAATGAGGATAAAAATAGTATCTACCTTATAAGGCCGTTCTGAACATAAAATAAACATGTGCAAAGCTCTCAGAACAGGGTCTGGTGCATTATAAGTACTATAGTTGTGTTTGCTTTTACATGATTATAATTTACCTATGTCAGGATGCAACTTCTTGGCTTTTAATAAGGCTTGTTATACACACAAATATCTTGTATGAATAATGGTAAGTCAATGGCCCAATCAGACGCTGTTGTTGTCATTGGGGGGAGCGTAGGAAGAAGGTCGGCTCTCTCACATTCCTTAGTACTCACCTGGTAGCAAAGCTCTCAGCAGCATTGCTTTATTTCGTTGATGACTAAGGTGTCTTGTCTACGCTACCTCATTGTGGAAGAACTGGATGAGTCAGCCATCCAAGCACCAAATAGCTCCCCTCTGCTACACCCAGGAATCCAGGGCAGCGCCCTCCTGCATGGCCACCGCATAGCTCTTATTGGTGGTCATGATGAAGAGCATGCTCTGGAAAAGTCCAAGGGCAGCAACTGCACATGTGACCCTAACTGATGCACATGACCATGGAGATACTTCCGCATCTGAGGAGTGGTCTGCACGATGCTGTGCTGCACCACAGCCTCCTCTGTGGAACCGGGGAGGTCTGCCAGGGGAAGTTCTGACCTGCACGAGTGATAATGCAATGACAAATGACTGCTGTGAGATCCTACTGTGTGTCGGTTTTCTACAACTTCCCCTGAAAGAATATGGTATGAAGTGATATAGTACTAATATAAGAATTTCTATTATTTTTGATACCAAAACCTAACAGCTATTAGTCAAAATGCCTCACTCTCGGGAACGGTGGTCTGAAAGGGCCCTCTCAGAGGAAAACAAGTCTGCCACCAGCAGAATGTCCAAACTCTGTTTCTTTGCTAGAACTGGTGGGAAAGAGGATCCAAATGGCAGACTGAGCTTTATGAAAGGCACTCTGAAATAACGCTTCTGAAGGTTAAAATATTTTATGCACCTAGAGGAATACCATCTTTAAGTCACTTACGATATTCAAGTGCCCTGCAACAAATAATAATTTAAACTTTAGACATATCATTGGAAATGCTGGAGAATGAGAGTCTGGCGTAGCAGAGAGAGGTCTAAGGGAACCCTACGGCCAGCATGCGTCTCAGAGCGAGGAATGACAACACCCATTTAAATCCGTTTCCTGGGACTGACTATGGCTCTCTGCCCCGCAGGCTGTGTGCAAGGACATACACCGTGGCTCTGCCCATCCAATCACTCGATCCGCAGTGTGTACTGAGTGCTAACTGTTGTGAAGCCCTCCGGCTTGTTCACACCAGGGATCCTCCCAACTATTCGAGCTTTTCTTTCCCCGCTGACAGTATCCTTCTAAGTGCATGAACATCAATGTAAAAGCTCACACCAGCCCTGTGAGGTAGGCATGGCATCCTCCTCATCTTCCAGAAGAGGAAACAGAGGCACAGAGAGGCTAATCAACTTGCCCAAGGTCACACAGCTGGTACGTGGCAGAACAGAGATTCAAACCTGGAAGTCTCCCTCTGCACTCCACATTGCTACTTGTGTGATCTGGGCAAGTTTTTCATCTATAAACTCCTCTGTCTGAAAAAGTGGGGTTAATAATACCTACCTCACAGCAGTTACCACCTCCTCCATTGTGGGGAATACATGAGATAATGTATGTGAAGAGCCGCTATAAGTATCAACATCGTTTTTATCCATCACAGACCTCTTCAAGTTAGATGGGAAATTACATGGCTGAGACAAAGCTAGACTGATAGAAATTTTAGCTCTATAATTAAATCACAATTTTGGACATTTAAAGAAAATCCTTCTATTAAAGAATGGAAAAATCAGACCTTTTGGGACAGGCTAGTCTTTACAGGTATAAAAAGAGTTGATAATGAATGATCCTTACAAAAATACATGGACCAAAAAATGTCAAAATGCCATTTGTGAGCTAATCACCCCAGCTTCACAGACATGAAGCGGTTACTAAGGCTCAGCAGGGTTCAGCAGGTCGCCCATCTTCCGGCTGAGAGCAGAGAATGAACTGGGAATGAGGGTGGAATGAAGCATGAATATGGAGCGGACAGAGAGGAAGACAGAGCTGGCCCACTGGCTCCAAGTATGCTTCGCTAGACGGTTCAGGCATGATTCCGTGCGTGCGTGCGGGCATGCATGCTTGTGTGTAGGGTCTCTACCTAATGCACTTTAGATACTGACAGCATAAAGACCAAAGCTCTCTCCAGAAGTTTCTCCCAAAACATGTTGCAGCAATAAGACTTTAACAGGCAACAATGTATCTGTTCAAATAAGTAAGGGAGCTTCTGGTTAAACAAAGTGAATTAAATCTCCTTGGTACAGGACTTCTCAGAGCCTTCAAAAGGAAAACAGATGTGACAAATATCTAACAATCTCTACTTTGCAGGGTTTCTTGAGCTCATTTGCCAACGGAACCCTTTCAATGTGAAGCACTCGGCTTGACCACAACGCCAGGGTGCTCGGCTCGAGACAGATGGTGCAGAGCCCTGGACGGCCTGCCTTTCACTAAGGCAGTAATTCCCGAACTGTAGTGGACAGCAGGATCTCCTGAAGGGCTCAGGAAAACACCGACTTCTGGACCCTACCCCATGAGTGTCTGCCTGAGGCGGGGCCTGAGAATCCACCTTTGTAACAAGTTTCCAGGTACCGCTGCTACTGCTGCTCCAGGGATCCCACTTTGAGAACCAGGGCTCTACTGCATTCCTAAATTACATGGGGGCTTCTTGGCCGGATATTATTTCTTCTCAAAAATGATGAACAGCAAAGACAGAAAGGATACATTAGGGAGGGTCCAAAGATGATAAAAATAAATGTTAAAAAAAAATGGCAGATGCCTTCTAATTCTGCTCCTGCATTCAGAAGCACCTCATCTCCTACATTTTGGGAGATGGAAAAGCCTTCTCGTTTCAGATTCCTCCGCCTGCCCGGTGTTAGTGCTACTTCAGCACTCTCCGTTACTCCCTTCTTAGACTGCACATGTCTCAAGGTCAAGGACAGGGTCTTGGTTAACGTTTATCTCCTCCGATGTCTATCACAGGGGTCTGGGTAGGAACAGTCCGCTCTCTGAGCCAGACTCCGTTGTTTTCTTATCACATTAAGAATGCCACAACTCTAAGTTCTCTCCCCATTTGGCAAATGCATCTGTACATTTTTTGTTAAGAAAATCATAATTCTTGTGACTCCAGGTGTAAATCCAGTATCAATATTCAATTCCGGTACACACTTGGTGCTATGTGAGTGACAGACACTGCGATGGATGAGCAGACAGGAATTAAAACTGTTTCAAAATGGGGACCTAAGCTTCGGGTCTAGTGTTTGCTCAGCAAAGCACCACGAACACCTGGGCTGGACTCACGCTGAGGTCGTCTCGAGGTGCCCATCGGGTCACCCGGAGAACGTGGGCACAGGAAAGAGAGGGGCGAAACGGGATCCCCGCAGGGAGGAAGGGAGGCAGAAGGAATCTCTGCCCTTGTTGAGGCGAGAGCACCAGGGCAGCAATTACTTGTCAGTTTGTGGTGAGGATATTGCTAAATCGATTTCCAAATAACCGCACAGAGCTCCCCTTTCTCCCTGCCTTCCTGGACGGACACTATAAAATCTGTAGCCTTATTCCGCTCTCTGTTTCTCTAGAGGCGGCCTAGACAAACTCATCCCTGAAAGGCCAGCCTTTCTTTAGGAGGAAGCATGGCACCACCGCCCTTGGAGAAGGTGTCTCCTCGGCACGTGCGGGCACCACAGTGCGTGCGGCCTTGAGAACATCCCGGCTGAGTTGGAGAAATGCTCTCGCCCCCCGCCCCCGCCCCCCGCCTGACCCTGGTTCCGGCTGCAGGGGATAAAGTCTCTGCATGCTCCCCAAACGGTAACTTTCTAGAGGGTGCAGAAATAAATCATGGGTCTGAACACAACAGGCTCCACTTACAATTTGAAAGAGTCAGGGTTGGAGTAAAGGCAAGCAATCCGACAGGCATTTAAATGGATGCAAAAGAAACACAAGACAGAAAGTATAAATGACAGGCAACAGTTCCTTCAGATGCACAGAAGCACATTGTGAAATGATACCTATAAATGAAATGTCACCATTTCATCTCACCACTCAGTAATGAATTCCTCGCGCTCGAGTCACTTGCTGTAGAAATAAACATATGTTTTCCAGATGCCTGTGCTACTCTAAGCAGGTCTAAAATGGGACTCCTGACCAGACAGCCTCTATGCTGCTTGTTCCGATGGACCAAGCCACCTGATTTTTTGTTCACATGGACAGTGGCCCTTGAAACGAAGTGCAATAAGAGGCGTGCCTGCGGCTCACGCTGCGCCTGGTGCTGGGTGGGATCTGTTCGGTGCTGCAGTCTGCCCCGGGCACCACTGTGCATTCAAGTGATGATCATGGGCCTGCTCCCCCCTCCGGGTCATGCAGTACCACATAAGTGTCACAGTGGACACAGAAACTCCATCTGTAGGAGTCAAGGGACACCCATTTACAAAGCCAGTAAACTAACTAGGTGTCCAGAATGAAACCCGGACCTTCATATGTTTTAAACCTTGACAGAACCTAGGAAAAAACTAATCTTAAAGCAACATGCAGCTTTCGGTCTTGGGGGTCTCCAGTACGCTTTCGGGGATGGACTGCTGCCTGTTCAGGAAGATTCGCCTGATGGGCTCTGGGACTGTTCCCTGCAGGGAGCACTGGGGGAGGGCACTCCGGCATTTTGGAGATGAACGTCTGTCAGGTGGCCCCTACAAAGGACACTGCTGGGCTCAAGCATCTCTGCTTCTGACCCACTAAAGCCAGGAGAAATGCCCCCGACACGGTGGCAACCCAGCTGCTCCCACCTAGTTCCAAACACCGCTTTGGGAGGTGGTCCCGGTCTGTCCGAGCGCCCCTGGGTGAGGACACCGGGCCTCTGCACCCCCATTGGCCCTGGGGAGGCTAACAGCACTGCTGGGCTGGGAACCAAGTGCTGTGTTGAGAGCTTAGCAAAGCTACTCCATGGTACTGCTGCCTCAGCATCCGTTTTGGTTGGCCGGGCAGCCTGCAGTGACCTTCACTGGACCCTACTCCCCCCACGCAGGCACATTCCCTAAGTGACAGCCCACAGAGTCACAAGCAAATGGAAGCTCCTAGTAGGACACCCCCGACAGCCCTTGTGATCAGGTCTCCTCCATCTCCAGGGCCTTCCCCTCTCTCTCCCTTAGGTGAGACCCCCATGGAGCTGACCGAATCCTGACTCTTTTCAGCCTGAACTGACCGATCTCGCCTTAGCTTGGGAACCCCAAAGCACCCCAGCCCTGGGTCCTCGTGAAGGCGTGCGCCCAGGTCCTGCCCCTCTCTCCGCCTCACCCTGCTGTGACCTCCCTCTGTGGCTCCCCTCCAGGACCTGTGAGCAAGACCTTCTTTACCTTCATTTCTCTTGTGGCCTTTTGCGCACCATCTGGCACCCTAGGGCTCTACTTAACAAACACGAATTGAACAAAACCCTAGCACGCCGCGCGTGGTGACCGTGCCCGCGAGGAGCCTGTTTCTCAGCTCACTGCTCTGGGTGAGGTGAGCAGCTCGTTCCGAGAGCTCTGTGCGTTCTTGCTTTGAAGGCTGAGCCTGGGAGAGCCTAACTGAGAACAGTGCCACCCTTTGTGATAAGGGGTGACAGTGAAAAGAAATTAGGCCGAGCTTGGATGGGAAGCTCAACAGGAACCTGATGTTCTACCGATAGAATCACTGAGTCGGAAAGACCAAGGAAGTTGGAAGGTCAGGCTGATATGTTTTCATGGAGCCGTCCTGCTGGGAGCCACGGGGCAAGATGCATCTCTGTGGGTAGGGGGTGGGACTTCCTTTGAAGGAAGTGGACCTTCCCACTGTCCATCATCCTGGGAGAGGCTACTTGTGGGAGAAGGCACAGAGGTCTCTGAGGCACAGGCGCGGTTTGGGCTGCCCACAGGAAGTGGTGAAGCGGGTCCCTGACACATGGATGAAATGGGTAGGTCTCTGTCAGTGATCTTGACATTGAGCTACCCTTTGTGACGCAGTTGTGAATTTCCCAAAACTTCAGTCTTGTCAAAATTGCAGCATGGGTTTACTCTACCATGATGGATAGTTGAAGGCAGGGCCAGGCACACCCTGCCCATCGCTGGCTAATTCACTTCTCACTGAGCGCAGTCTGAGGGGCAGCCTTTCACTTTATAAATCCCCGTTGCCCTCCCTCCCGAGACCATGCGCAGCCTTGAACACAGCAGTGCTCAAGAAGTACTTTTCCCTTAACTGAGAGATCAAGGACTCTCAGCACCTACCTTCTACCTGTGCTTCCTCATCCCACCACCACACACACCCCAGGATGAAACTTGCGAGTGTGTGAGCGAGAAGATATAAAAAAGTGAGTGGTTTCGTGAGGAGGGAATTGATTTTGACCAGTTGAAAGTGGATAAAACCAATTCTGGAGACTCCTCTCCTACTCCAACTTGCTGGAGGTAGCTGGCTCTGGGTTTCAGCAGTGACGCTCCCCTGTGGTGGCAGTGCGGCCGCCCAGTGGTTCTGGGTGCTGGTGGCACTTAGACCCTTGAGTGACATGCTGACACGTGACGTGTCTCTGGAGTCCTGGGGTTTGCCCATGAGTCTAGGTGGTATTGGCTCGTGGTGGAGATTCTGGGGCTGTGCATTTCCACGGGTCACACCCGTTCTGGCTGGTTCAAAGTGGCTGTGGGTGATTGAAACTGGATGGAGGGGGCTTCCTGGATCTAACAGGCTCACTCCTTACACTGTGGTGGGACAGATCCGAACAGGTTATGGCTGACTCGAACTGGTTTAAACCGGGGTAGCTTGCTCAGGCGTGTTATCTAGCCAGGCTAGAGCTGATCGGAGGGCTGATCCTTCTCCTGGAAGGTAGCCAGCTCACTTTAGCTGGATCAGCCTGTTCGAAAGCAATGGGCCGTGCCCGAACCACGCAGTCCGTGGAAATAGTGACAGACCTCTCATGTTAGAAACGATAGTCAAAACGATATCCTTCCTCGTTGAATCAACTTTTCAAAGTTCATGAACACATACATATTTTCTCAAGACGGGCCATTAAGAACAACCCAAATATACTGTGTTCACACATAAGGACCCCAGTAGACTTTGGAACTCTTCTTCCTGTTCAGAACTGTTAGCGGGAACACGGATAAACAGTACCTGCAGCGTCATCCCAACCCGCTCTCGTCTACACTCGGGACTAGAAAGTGAGGCGTGGGGTGACCACCGGGGACAGCCCAGGTGCCCGCCTCCGCCCACAGCCCCCGCAGAGCGTGGTCCCCCTCACCTTGATCCTGCTCACTGCTTCCTGGGCCTGCATCATGCGCACGTTTTTGGAGGGAGTTTTGTCTGATAGCAGCTGGGTGGAGCCAAGGTAATTGGCAGCAAAAATGATTCCATCAATTAAGTCTTCGGGGTCACAAGGTCCGGGAACTGAAACACACAGAACCACCGTGGTGAGTGAAGCCAAATTCCCAGTGTAGCACCTGTCCCCCTACTGCCCACCTGTGGCACAGGGACCATTCCTGAGACCCCGGAAGAGGGGCATCAACCTGCTGGTCTAAGGTATCTGTCTGCCTTCACACACTCCCTGTCTTCAAATAATAAGTACAGTTTTTTCTTAGAGTACCTTACTTCTCCCAGGCCATGTACTGCGAGAAAGGATGCGAATATTTATGTAAACACAAAACATGAAATGTTTTGATGAAGGATACTGTTTCTCCCGTTACACTGTGAGCTTTTTGGGGAAAGGGCTATGTCACAGTCAACTTTGGCTCTCTTGTGTCTTGTCAACATCTGACACCCAGAGGGCATCACATAAATGCGTGTCTGAAAAATGGTTAAGTTCCTGACTTGCCATTCATTCATGTCTCCCCCTCTTCATTGTCCGTAAGAACAATGACACTGTTTCAAAATATCTGGTTCCCATAACAGCCTCTGACCCCCACTCTGGGGGACAGCTAACAGTCCTCGAAACTGTGGTCTCATGCTGCCGACCTTGCTGACTTATGGACTATAAGTTCCCAGCTGGCATCTGCATGCAGATTAATTCCAAGGAAACGGGAATTTCTGTTTCATCGATCAGCCTTTTAAATCATATCAGACTTTTATTTATTTTTTAGTTTATCTTTATTGTTGAAAGTATTAGTTGTCCCCCTTTACTCCCCCCCCCATTGACCCCTTCTCTCCACCCCCCTGCCATCACCACACCTCTGTCTGCGTCCACTGGTTATGCATACAGGCATACAATTATTTTAAATGGAGGTATGTGACTCTAACCATAATCGCCTGTGAACGCTATCAGAAATTATAGCATGCCTGGGACTAATATATAACTAACTTTATAACAGATGCACCAAGAAAGGCATTTCTAATTCTGCAATGAAAACATGTATTTTCTTTGGCTTGAATGCTTTATTTGGGGAGACTAAACTATATGTCTTAACCCACAGTGAAAACCTCAGCGTCTTTAATTAGGTACCTAGTAATGGAAACAATTTGCTTCTTCACCTTGGAGAGCTCATCTGAAATGGTTTTAATTTTTATCCTTAAACATGAAGTCCATCTTGAGCTTAAACAGCTACTTTTTATGATAAGCTACTTATCAGGGTCCAGACTTCAAATAATCTATGTATTTTTTTCTAAAACAAGGTGGTGGTTGAAACAAAGGAATTAACAATGTTTTAGAAAATGCCTTCTCAAGGCATCTGTGTAGTAATTAAATAGGGAAACCTGTTATTTGTCTTATTCCTGATCTTTCTGGGAAAGACTTCTAGACAAACCCTGCCGGTACACAGCCATGCAGGCCGCCACTCCGTCCTGGTGATTTACTTCCTTCCCAAAGCCATGTGCTCCTCGCCCCGAACCTTTAGAGATGTGGGACAGGTTCAGGTGACTTACAATGCGCAGGTTAGCTGTGTAGCAGGGAAGCCGGAGCCCAACTCAAATAACACATGGACAAGTTTGGGCCCACACTGTGCTTTGTAAAGTGTCAAAGATGGCCAGTCTTTCATTCCAAATTCCTGTGCTGGATGTCCAATGACACTTAATCACTTTCAGCAACCAGGTATTGAGGAAAAAAGCTCTCATCTGGGACAGTAACTTTTTAAAATGTTCCATTTATTTGTGAAAATAACAAATGTCAAAGAAAAGTAAAAATTAACCACCTCTTTATGGGACTTCCACTGTCATATATATTCATCTTTGATTTAGCTCTGTGCACTGAAAAAACTCCCTCTTGATCCCTTGCAGGTGTGGATATGCAAGTATGTTTGAAAGCAATCCAAATAATATTTAAATGACTGTGTAAATGTCAAGCACCCAAGAGACAGAAATATTGGATCTAAACAAATTACACATTCGAGATATAATCTTATGCCCCCTCCAGGGAAACTGATTATAATCAAATGTCACTGTCCCTGTATCGTACCCAGAAAAAAAGCACCCCAATTTCTTAAGTTCATTGCTTAGTGTGTTATTAACAAGTTTTTAAAAATGAAAATTATCGTTTCTAAGCCCCAAACCACAGGGTTCATCTTGGCCTTTGGGAACGTGTTTTTCTTTCTGGCGATGTCTTTGCGTTGCTCTGCGGGGGAGCAAACACATACCTTCTGCATATGTCTTCACCCTCGTGTGGATGCTAAGCCTGAGGACCAGCTCTGAAGAATGGAGTTTCCAAACTGCCAGGAACTCCCCGAGGTGCTCTCATGGATTTTGGAGCTTCACAAAATGGCACAGCTGATTTACAGAATGAAACCTGAGTAACTGAACTTAAGCTATGCGCATGTTCTGGGCCTCAGACCCGAATGTTCAACAAGGTCCCATTTCCCAGGCGGCAGAACACACAGATTGTTCCCTCACCGGAGCCGAAGACCGGACAGGACCTCGAAGTGATGAGTGGGCATTCCCTGGCCCCAGAAAATCCTCCTCCAGGGAAATGACAACCCACTCTGCCGAGAAAGCCTCTGCCACCCTCCTGGCGAGGATCGGTGTCACCTCTAGCTAGTGGGTGGCCCGACCTTAACCTGGGGTGCCCAGGTCGGGCAGAGTCTGGCCCTCTTGGGCCTCTCAGGCATCCTGTGCTGGGATGACCCGCACAGCCCTGTGCAGAGTAGGGGCGGAGCGCGGCGGTCAGACCGCCGGCTCCCAGCGGGGCTCTCTGCTTGCTGACTGCGTGATCTTGGGAAAGTCGCCCCCCTTCGATGCCTCCGTCCTCTCCCACATAACATGAGGATCACGATAAGACCCACTTCACGAGATCAATGTGAGGCTTCAACAGTCACTGCATGGAAGTGCTGAGAACAGTGCCTGGCAAAAGGAAGAGCCTGACAATGTTTCTATTACTGGCTCAGCCAAGCAAGGAGCGGGGATTATTGGGAAGGTCTTTTTATTTTTTATTTTTAGTGCAGAGGACCAAACTTTCTCCCTCTTAGTTAAAGCTTATTCCCACTTAAATAGCCCCTGATGGATGTCCTGGAGCAGAGGTGGGAGACAGACCCAACACAGTCATTGCTGAGCTAGGCAAAGCCCCCCACCCAGGCCCAGGTTCCCATGGGCAGAATCAGCAAGGCAGGGGGAGGGTCCCCGAGAGGCTCACAGCTATTGTTCTTCTAGTCTAAGATGCTAAGACCATTAAGGCTGTGAATTAACTGGCTCGACGGCCTTTCTTTTCCACTAGTCTTCCAGCCCAACGCTTCCAATATCCCAAATGCTAAAACATTCACGAATGACTCAGTGCTCAATATTTCTTACCTTCAACGTAGGTTGGGAATGAAGCCAAGCTTTTTCTTGACTGTAATTAAGACAAAGAGGTTTCAAAAAGGGCAACGCATGATGAAAATTGCATTATCACAACCATCCATGCAGCATGAAAAATAAATACATCACCAGTGACAGATATTAACCAGTTGTCAACCATTTTTGGTTATGGACCGAAAAGTGCAAATAAACACATGCATTTCTTATTAAAGGTTACCCAGAGCCCAGAACCATTCATTCATATTTTAGATCATCTGAAAATCCTACATTCCACAATCAGAGAGATGTCGGTCAGCTTAAAAAATACCCCACAAACCAAAATTCATCATCCGCAATAGCAATAAAAAGGGCTCAATGTGTATTCTTAAGAACCTGGGTTTCCAAGTAAAAACTACTGATTAATGAAAGCATCAACAATGTAACTACGCTGACATTAAGAATTTCCTTGGAGAATTTTATTTCACATTAGGTCTTTGCTGCAGTGATCTCTCACTGTGCTAAAACTGTTTGCTAGAGTGTTTTTCTCTTCTCTTCATCTCTTACTGATTTATTTCAGTTTAGAAATTTCGCTATGTAATTATTATGTGTTATCTTAAAAATAAGAACACAACAAAGGAATGAATTAAAAACCCTGGAATCTGTCCATTAAGTAAAAACCTGGAGCAAAGGCCAGGCTTCTAACAGCACTGCTGGAAGGGGCTGTGATCAACCAGGACCCTTCTACGACCTGACGGGACAGCAGCTGAAATGTGTGCTCTCAGAGGAGTGGTCCTTACCATTTGGTTCCCTTCACAGGCGAATGTCCTAGAGAGAACTCTGTGTGGAACAGGAGTAGGAAATTCATTCCTGATTCAACCAGGAACGTGCTTTGTAGCTGACCTGTCTGTGAGCATTGCGAGAGTGGAGAGCTAGTGTCATCAGCAAGAGTCCCCAACATGGGCAAAAAGCAGGGTGTCCGTGCCTAAAAGTTATCCTCAGGAAGCTTGAAGATGTTCATCGCTTAGAATCTCCCAGCTGTTAGGTGATCATTTAAATGTGTATCTTTTAGGAAAAGGGTACCTGGCAGAGCATGGCTGCTCAACAGGTGGGCTGGAGTTGAGGGTACTCTGGGGTGCCTGATGGGCTGGAAGGGCAAAGGGCCCTGCATGGGGGCTGGGCTGCCATGGAAACAATTCCACACTGTGGCGCTGTACACGGTGCTCTTCTCTCGGAAGATGGGGATGGCAGAGGGTGATTAATTAATTGCACAAAATTCTAAAGAAGAGTAGTTTTAAGTGTTATGTGGAAGATTGGAGGCAGCTGAAGACACTTAATTTTAGGAATCTAACTCAATTCAGGACAGTGACAACAATTCAACAGTCATCACGCAGTACACTGTGCAGGGCAACTTGTCAGCAATCCTGCTGCGGACGCCCTCCCTGGGATGAAATGCTTCCTCACGTCAAGGGGGGCGGGGGTAGGTTTCTGGTTTCAGAAAGGACGACCTTTAAAGAGACTAAAGACACAAGTCCACCAGGAATCTAAGGTTATTGGCTGCTAATGATATGTGGGAAAATGCACACCAAGTAAGAGCCAAGGTGTGGGATAGGAGGAAAGAGAAATCCAATTTCAATAGTGCTTTATACTAATTTTACGTTCTATTTATCCATGTGAGGGGACAGGCCCAGGTGAATGCCAACAGCCAAGTCTGTCTCATTCTGGGTGGTTTAAAGAAAAATAATCCTTAACTTCAGGGCACGCAGATGGAAGCTAGCTTCTTCCTAAGGTCAAAGATTTCCAAATTATTATTCCCGAACCATATCCCTGTCCTTGTCCTCAGCTGCTAAAGGTCTGGGATAATAAGGGTTTACTTTGTTTAATCAAAATGGTTAAGCCTCCAGGTAGCTCCAAGAAGCTAATTCAGATTTTCCTGGGCTACTAGAGCACTTTTCTGAATGCTAATTTCAAGGACAGCATCCAGATTTTAGGAGCAACTACAGAAGAACGAGTTCAGTCTCAAACTCTAAAAACTGCTGTTTTATTTAGAGCTACAGTGGAGGGCATTCGGCACGTTTGCTTGTTCTCTATTCATGGGCTCATAACTGTCTTTTTTTAGTCACCGGGGTAGTAAGTTTTCTTTTTTTTAAAAAGAGTTTTGTGAACTGAAAGAATCACTAATTATTGCACACAAAGAGGATTTCCATCATTATTTCTAAATGTAGAAATGTGTGCCAAGTCCTGCAGGAACTGAGAAGTGAACACATTTGCTTTGCTTAATATAGCTGATGAATAACCAAATGTTGAGTATTCAGATATCTGATTAGCCCTTTATGATCTCACATGTGGGCAGAGATGAACATTAGTCCTTAACATTTAAAAATTAATAAAACCGCATTCAAGAAGATAGCCCGGCCGGTGTGGCTCAGTGGTTGAGCGTGGACCCTGCACCAAGAGGTCGCCGATTCAATTCCTGGTCAGGACACATGCCCAGGTTGCGGGCCCGATCCCCAGTGGGGGGCATGCAGGAGGCGGCCAATCTATGTTCTCTCTCATCGATGTTTCTATCTCTCTCTCCCTCTCCTTTCCTCTTTCTCTAAAGTCATTAAAAAAAATTAAAAAAAAAAAAAGAAGGTCAAGGTCCAAATAGTTGGGATTTTCCGGGAGGCCACATGAACCACATGCAAAGCCTGGAGGCCTGACACTGGAATGACGACAAACGAGCTACCTTGTCCATGCAGCCTGTGACCTGAGAGGACTTTTCCCCCAAGGACAGCACATCCTGTTGTTAGGAGCCTGCCTGCCCACAGGCATTCTAGGTTCAAATCCTGGTCCCACCAGTTGTGAGCCTTGGGACCCCAGGCAAGTTATTCAGCCTCTCGGCTTCTTCAACTAACAAGTAAGGACAATAATTCCTGCTTCGCAGAATTAGTTGGAGAATTCAATGGGATAGTATCTGTGAATTGCTTGGCCTGGTGCCTGAACACTGTAAATGCTCAAAAAATGGTAACTCTCGTTGCTGTTGTTATTATCATTGTGGATGTCACTCTTTTCTTTTTTTTATTTGTTTTTGTTACAGATGTTTCTCCTTTTCCCCCCATTGACACGGATGTCACTCTTTTCTTCTTGCCATTCGTTCTCACCTCTCCGTGTGCCATGAATAAAATATACGGCAAAGCTGTGGGCTGCAGGGGTGGCAGAAATGCAGCCCCGTTAGTCCCGCTCATGTCCCCCTCAGGCCTGTGGTCTGAGGAGCAAGACCAGAGGAGGACAAAGGAAACTGCGGGTCTAAATTCTAATCTTTGTTTGGTTTCATATGAGCAGATTAATTAAACAAATATCCTTCTCCCCCACATGAATATTTCATGGCAAATGTATGTGTATCCGATGATACTTTAAAGGCAAAGTTCACCTAAGGCTCCCTTTGGAAGTGATCTGCCACTCAGGTTAAAATGGAGATTGCTTTCTTCCACTGCTATTTCACGTAAAATTATGAGCAAGAGGAGAGACACGAGACAGTCACTCATTACGTGGTTCATCTCCCTAACGCGTGTCCTCTGTGTTGAGGAGGCAGCCTCTATATTGAGAGCAAGCTGGGCCCACACGCTCACTGTGACGCAGGCCACTGTGCACCTGCCGCGAGCTTCCGGAGAGGGGGTGGCAGTGAGCTGCCTGTCCAGGGATGACGGTGCTGGAGAAGGCAGTGGCTCCCTCAGGGAAGAACACCAGTCCTCTTTAGCCCTAGAAACCTCAGTGGGAGCAAGCAGCATCTTCCTGCTTCCATTTCCTTGGCCAGAGCTCAGACTGGCCTCCCCAGTAGGGCGACCGCACGATTTGTTGACCCGGGGCCACTACAGGGCTGCCCTGCCCAGGGGCCCTCGTCGCACGGGGCTGTTTCAGTCACATGAAATGGCGTGAAATGAAAATGCAGGTCCTCAGTCCCACTAGCCATGTGTTGAGGGCTTGCCAGTCACACATGGCTGGTGACTCCCGCAGAGGACAGGACGGAAGCAGAGCATTTTCAGGGAAGCAGCTGGTTCTCTGAGCAGCAGTGGGGAAGGGGGCTCCGCAGGGGGGCTGCTGGACAGCAGGTGTGAACTGGAACCACCGCTGCTAAACCAGGACCAGCGGTCACTCTGTCGTCGTGAAAGATACTTCACTTGGTCCGGAAATAAGTGGATATTTAAAAAAAATCAATTCACTTCCCGAACCACATACCCACTGTAAGCCCACGGTCCCCAGGGCCTGCAGCACCATGAGGGAGGGTGGCTCCGGAGACTGTCTGATGTCCAAAGGCCAGCACTGTCCAGGGACCTTTCTGCATTGGTGCAAATGTTCTGCCCTCTCCCCTGCCCAGTACCGTGGCCACTAGTCACATGTGGCAACTGAGCACCTGAAACATGGCTAGTGTGCTGAAGCAGTGAGGTTTTCATTGCACCGACCAATTACAATAGATATCTGTGGCTGGTGGCTACCAAATCGGATGTCACAGCCTTAATCGCCGAATTCCACCAGGGTACTCTGGGGCATGAGCGCTGCTGTGGGAGGCTGCAGAGGGCTCAAACCAGAATCAGAATGGAGCGAAACGGCCGACGGCTTTGGAGAGGAAAGGCACCCTACCTCTTTGTTCGCGGAGGCCTCCGCGGGGTCACTGGGATGAAGGAGTGAACTTGAAGACTCTGCGCCCAGGGGTGAGGAACTGCCTGGCGAGGGAGACTGGAACACAGCAAGGGAACAACACAGTGAGAACCCGAAGGACGGGCAGCACCGCCTGCGCCTGCGGGTAGGGACCCAGGAGAGGCTGCGCACCATGCAGCTTGCAGACCGAACATTCCGGTGGGAGAAACTCCCTTGGAAAGGACTTGCCAAAGGCATATAAAAGGCCTGGGTTTGTTAAGCTTTCTTTTAAATTCCTGCCACGTTTTCAAAGGGGCCCGTGGAGCTCAGCTCTTCTACCCCGCTTAAGACCAAGTGCTTAAATACAGGAAAAGTTGAATGTCAAACTCCAAGTTCTGGAATAATCAGGAGCGGGGAACCTTTTTTCTGCCACGGGCCATTTGGATATGTATAACCTCATTCGCGGGCCATGCAAAATGTCTAAGTTAAAAATTAGCCTGCTCTATTTGGTCAGGCCAACTTGGTGAGGTGTGTGGTTTTAGCTGGTATTCATTTCGAGGGCCTTATATGGCCAGCGGGCCAGATGTTCCCCACCCCTGCCAGATGAAAATGCTAACTGGTGATTAACAAATGTGTGTGCTTTAACAATATTTTTCTTATTAAAGGATACAAAGATTTTGGGTATGAAATGTCATTTAAGATCACCTGCCCAAGAAGATCTGAGTGTAAAAGGAAAAGTTACACCATGTATTTTTAAAGAGGCAGCTTTTTAAAGAGATGGATTTTGATGATGGAAAACTGCACCACCTGTATTTTCCTAGTCAGTTCAGATTTCAAATATCTTTTCTGATTTGAAACACAGGCCATTCATTGAACATTCAGAGAAATTTTGGCATCCAAACAACATTACCTTGATTGTCTTTAGAGAAGTTCAAACATTATGTTAAGTGATATATTTAAAGTAATTCCATTTTTGAGTATTTATCCAAAGGGAAGAAAAACATGAATTCAAAAAGATATATATGCACCCCATGTTCATTGCAGCGTTGTTTACAATAGCCAAGATATAGAAGCAACCCACAGTGTCCATCAATAGACAAATGGATCAAGAAGATGTCTCTCTCTCTTACACACACACACACACACACACACACGAAAATAATATTCAGCCATAAAAAGAATGAAATATTGACATCTGTGACAAAAATGAATGGGCGTAGAGGGTATTATGCTAAGTAAAATAAGTCAGACAGAAAAAGACAAATACTGTATTATTTCACTCATGTACAGAATCTAAAGAACAAAACAAGAAACAAGCAAAATGAAACAGAAACAAATTCATAGATCCAGAGAACAAACCGATGGTTGTCAGAGGGGAGGAGAGAAGGGGGATTAAGAAATACAAACTTTCATGTATAAAACAGTCACTGGGATATACATACAGCACAGCGAATAGTCAGTAATATTGTAATAACTATGTACGGTGACAGATGGTTACTAGACTTACTGTGGTGATCACTTTGTAAGGTATATAACTGTTGAATCACTACCTTATACACCTGACATTAAGATAATATGCTATGTCAACAATGATTTTAAATTTAAAAAAATCTTTAATGAACAAAATAAGGCTTAGAAAAATAGGACTGGGGAGGATGCCCCGTCGGGTGTGTGGCTGGCTCAGGTGACAGGCAGGGGCTCCTGGCCCTGGCCGCCCTCCTGGGAGCATTCAGCTCCAGGCCAGTGCCTGACCCGCGGCACGTGCTCCATACATACCTGCTGAACAAATGACCAACGCAAGCCCGCACGGGGGTGGGACTACCCCAGGCTCTGAAGACCCTCCCTCGCTGATACCCGAACAATTCCGTATGCTCCTGAAATCTTGGGAGATGAAGGGAATCTTCCAGTGAGCCACAAGGGGGCTTACAAATTCTGCAGCGATGGTCCTCTGAGAGTAAGAATGTACTGCTTCAGTCTGTGGGTGATGTTCGATAGAGGACATTAAACAGAATCCACACAAGGATCTGTCCTCTGAGGGACTGTGGGGATGTGAACAAGGGGAGGCAGGTCCTGGGAAAAGGAAGCAATGGTTGCTTGTATCTCATCTAATCGCGTGACTGGCCCCCGTGGGGAAGCTGAGGCACAGACATCAGTAAAATACCTCTGTATGAAAAGGGAGAATGTTCCACAAAACAGTGCTGCTGAGGAAGGGAGGGGGTGTGTTGTGTATAACGGAGACCTCAGTGAGCAGTATAGAAAATCATAAAAAAAAAAAAATCTTTTCCAGCCCTGACCAGTTTGGCTCAGCAGTTAGAGCACTGGCCCGCGGACTGGAGAGACCTGGGTTTGGTTCCACTAGGGGCACGTACCTTGGTTGCAGTTTGTCCCTGGCCCCGGTTGGGGTCGTGTGGGTGCCAACCAGTTGATATGTCTCTCACATCGATGTTTCTCTCTCTCTTCCTCCCTCTCTCCCTCCCTAGCTGACGATAAATGCAAAAATGTCTTCAGGTGAGGATTAAAAAAAAAAAAATTCCAAAACGTCTGAATTATAAGAAACACACAGGCACTAAATAGATTGAAAAAGGAAGCGGGGAAATGCAGAAATCTTCACTCTGAGACATTGTATACCCCAGCCTATTGCTGTGAGGCCTGGATTTATTTGCCACAAGCCCACATTTCTGGTTCTGAGCAGAGAGGTGAGGACCGCTGAGTCTCTAAGACATTCACCCACAGGGGGACAGCAGGCAAAAGTACCCCAGGCCCTACAGGCACTGGGTGCAAGAAAATAGCCTGCGTGCTTTGAACAAGAAAGAAAATTTTTCATTTGGCATCCAAGAGAGCTAGTGGGTACTTGCTGAGTTAGCTCTATGTTTAGCCTACTCAAAATTAATGTAGCAAAGTCTTCATGAGAATTTAATGCCTTTAAAATTTCCCAATTTTTCAAATTTGAAGAGCTTCCTTAGATATTTGTTTCTCTGTTTCCCCCTCAAGCACTTTTCTCTGTCACAAAGATTTTAAGGGTCTAGTCCCTGGGAAAGTTAGTGCAGCTGGCTTTTAATTCCTTGGTTTGAAAGGCAGTGTGACACCTTCATTAAAAACACTGCAACCCTCCCAAAGACTTTCTATTTCTTTAACTCTTTTCTGTCTCAACTCTTCTAAAGATGGATTCTTCGCAAAGTCGCCGGCACCAGGTCATCTCAGGGAGGTTTGAGAAGACAGCTTATCCAAACAGTATGCTGGGGTGTAGGAGAGGCAGGTCAGACCCCACAGTAAGGCTGAGGGGCCAGCACAGGGTGCCCGTCACAGAACACTGAGGAAGAGGCACAGATGCAACCATGGTGGGCACTGCCTTCGCTGAGTTCTCATGGGATCCCTGCCAACCTTTATCAGACACTCAGTGCTCCAGCCTTCTGCACACAAATGAGCTCCCTCATGTTTCCTTCCACCTGCATGGCGATTAATCATCTCCACCCAGAGAGTTCCCCCTCATCCTCTCCTATGTCCCACGTGCAATTCGAAAGCACTTCTGCTAAAACTTGCTCACTCTATTCATGGTAGGTTCTCTCCTGATGGCATGTGCCAGGTTTTGTAGTGGTCTGATTCTGGGTACGTCTGCCCTCCCCCAAGAGCTCTTTGACAGGGACCTTGTCTTATTCATCTTTGTAATCCAAGTGCCTAGCCTCGGGTCTCATAAACAGCAGGCACCCAGTAAACATTTACTGAATAAATGACTTCAGTGTAGTTTGTAGCTTTGCCATGTTTCCAACTTGCACAGAAAGCAGATCAGCCACTACACTTTCCATATTTTTTAGTGGTCAATGCGAAGCCCTTTTCCGGTGTAACACCCCTACGCTGCTATGTGTAGAAAGTTAAATCTGCATTTTGAATTAGAGAAATGGTCTTTGACTGTGAAGATCCTGACCTTACTGCCAGCAAAGCTCTCCTGGCACAGAAGGCAATCCCCGAAGGGGAGAGGATCCCAGCGGTGGAAGCCTACTGGTCGCTCACCACGCCACTCCTGACAAAGTCAAGGCTGAGAAATGCTTTGGAAGGAGGGACAGCCTCCACAGAGCCTAGACAAAGGTGTTGGTATCAACACAGCTCAAATATCTGCTTGAAAATCCCTCTGCCCCTTACTTCCAGCTTCTGCCCTGCTACTTTCCAAAGTGGCCAGAAAACCAGAGATTGGAGAACCCTTTTTTACTTCCAAAGAATGCATTAGAGACACATTCTAACCACTGAAATACGATAAAAAAGTAAACATGGTTACTACATATTTCTGTCTGGAGTCTCATGCCTTCCGGGTTACTAGATTGACATTCAGTTTTAGGCAAATGGGACCAGTGGTGGGAAGCAAATGTGGGCTCAGCAATTCACAAAGGTAAGGGTCACCTGGGACCACTATGAGGGGCAGGATCCGAAGCTGACTCAACAGTTCCGTTCTGAGCAATCGCAGGAGGTCTCCTTAAGCTCAACAACTTATTTTCTGAAGACGGTGTTCTGGCAGATTCTCTACAACAAAGGTCTAAATTTACCGGGACAGCTCTGGGGTCTCCCCAGGCAGAGCTCTCTGTCTTGAGACGTGGGTTCTTCAACACCAGGACGAGAAATGGATAGTTCTTAGATCAGAGGGGGCCTAAGGATGGGAGTGTGTCCAAAGGAAAAGGCGAGCATTCATTGAATTTTGGACTGAACACCTCCTGGGGCCAAACGTTGTATTCCTGGTGGCAGGATGAGACGAGTAGCTGAAGGAACTTTCAGGCTATACTTCTAAAGGAGGAGAGCAGCACACGAGTCACTAGTATTCATTCATCCCTTCGACAGAATTCCAGCGCCTATCTGTGCTCCTAACTCTGGGCCAGAAACAAAGAGGAAGGAGATGTGCGGTCCTACACCCCTTTCTAGACAATGGGAGGAGGCAGACACCTGAAGGCAGGGCTGCGGCAGGTGGCTGGGACATTAATCTGTCAGTAGGGATGAAGAACTGGGAGGAGCAATTCTTTGGAGGGGAGGGGTGTATGTCACGCAATGCTTCATGCGAAAGGGGGTGGCTTTAGCTGAATACTGAAAACTGCAGTAGTCAAGAAGCAGGATGGGAC